TAAAAGTGAATAACAATTAAATAATTCATATCAGTTTGTTACCTTTGAGTAACTAGATTGTACGGAAAACAAACATTTAAATATGACAATACTCATTTGAATATTTTGTCAAGATGATATCTATCTAAAGAATATTCTAAACATGGTCAAACGTCGGCCATAGTATCAGCTAAAACTAGCGAGGTTTAAATATTTTCTTCGCCTCTATTCATAATTCCTAACTAGTATGTAAGATTTCATGACAAAATACTTACTTTTTCACGATCTTATCAGAATTCAACATTTGACTTTTCCTATCTAAACGAGACTAATTCCATCATTCAATTTGATTAAAATTCATCATTCATATTATTTTCATGACTGACTATTATATAGTTTAATGGTAAGAAGTTTCAATCTAAATTTAAACAGCTACCGAGTTTTTCAAGTATGAATGGGTTTCCAGTTAATTTTTTAATCAATCTTGAAAAGTAACCATGAATGCAACATGCAATTAGAACCATACTTATAGAACGATCATTCAATTGTAAATGGTATAAACACAAAATAAACGTATTTGAAAAAGAATCAAATTTCAATGAAACAGTTCAATCGGCAAACTCATGAATCAATTCATTTACTTACAACTTTTCTCTTTCATACTGATGTTTTCCCTAATCGTATTACAGTACGCTTATTGGAGGATATTCTTGAACAATTTGAATCGAAATTCTCAAGCATTACAAAAAGTAATGTTTATAAGAATATTATTATTACTATTCATCGAAAGTATTCAATAACCATTACTCGCAAACCTTTTATAGGTCAAGCAAAGAATTACGTACTAACAAAAGTTAAAATTAATGATTAAAAAGTATTTTTCTGTAAGTCAAGAAGGAATATTTCAATTTAACCTCATTACTCGATAAAGATACTGTAGTGAATGATTATTTGGTGGGGATAACCAATTTATTTTTCAATGAAAAGTTACAGAGTATCTATGTAAAATATAACAACTATGCATTGAATGCATTACTGGCACATCTTCCATCAGCTATCTCGTACAAATTTCATCATTCCTTCGTTCTTGTTGTTATTTTGATTACTTTCAGTTTTCTTATCACTTCTCTTCATTTCAATCTTCTCACTTTATTGCTTTCAAGCAATTCACTTCAGTTTGATGCTACACATTACTTATATTTTTCAACATAAGTAACATATACCTTAATATTATCTTTAATTCTCATTTTCTTGTAATGATACTGGACAAATAGACCTGAACAAGTTCATCGAACAAATGCAACTGAAATTTGTAACTAAGATAATCATTGAAAATCAAGAAATTTATCATAATCTTAGGCGGAGGGGGTTCATCATGAATAATTATTACCTGTTAAAATCATTTCCTTGATAGATTTAGTATTTAAAAAATTCTGGTAAATTACTTTGAATCCTATTTGTAATTTGATCATTTATAGAGTGAATATTCTTTTCTTTTCTAAATTTCAGAAATCAATCGATTGAGAAAATGGTGATTATCAAGTTTTATTTTGTTAATTATTTACTAACTTAATTTGTTCAGTTTGAGATGTGAAACTTCTTTATAGTCGTTTAAAGATCCCTATCATATTCAAAGAGTAACATTTGAACGAAGAATATTCTTAAATTCACTTGATGTTGTTCTGCTTGTATCTTCCCATTGTTATTTAGCATTGCAATTGATCAGTCTCATGTTGGTATATGTGCATCCTGTGTGCATTACTTCGATATAGCCTTAAGTCATAAGCGTTTTAAGTAAATATTGATAGTGGCTAGTAGTGGAATCTAAGACGCGCATTTCGTCCTATTTGGAACTCGTCAGTTGAATGCGCTTGCATCCTAGAGTTGATGTTCACTAAGGGACTCAAACCCAAGAATATTCTTTTCGATATATTCTCTTCAGGTTCTACAATTATATATTCAAATCAATAATCCGAAAAACGGTCAGGTTAAGGTTATCAGATATATGTTGTCAGATTTACATACTGTTTTAACCACCTCAGAGGATAAATAAAATTTGTCAGGAAAATTCTCAAATATCAGATTTCAGACTGCCATTAGTCATCGAAAATATTTGTTGAAAGTAGTGTTCTTCATATTTTATCTTTATTCTCTCTTAAAGATTAGGATATTTTTATATTTCATGCTGCAGTATAAGACAATTGTGACTTTATTGTTAAATTCATTATCATACCTTGAATCTTATATAACTGGTTTTTATAGATCAGTTGTAAAGTCAATGAGAATAAGGACAATTATTTTCTTCAATTCAGACATTAAACGAAATGAATGTCAATATAGTTTATTCAAATAAAGTTTAGCGCCATATTTCTATCTCTTATTCTGATTGTTATACTTTATTAATCAATAAACGAAATAATAATATGCTTAAAACAAATCTGAAATACTCAACCTTACTAAAAGTACTTCATGGCGCGTTATAAACGATTATTTTATGTAGTAGAGGCGAAATCCGACTCGAACGTCCGCGTCGTGCCTCCTGGATAATGAGACAAATGACTCATGAACTAACGTGAGCAGTAACTCGGGTGGTGGAGATCGGACTGATCACCCAATCTTACCTATACCCACCAACTGATTACGAACTCCACAGATAAACATAGCACAACTACATTTGGAATGGAAAACGACAAAAAATTTTCTCGAAAGTGGTGCATGTATCATATGGAGTTGCTCGTCATTGTGCAAACTCCAAAGGATTGCAGAAACAACTATTCTAGCCCCAGTAGTTGTGCCGTGCTTTGATGTGGCCTGTTTCTCTCCAGAATGGCCTACTAGGCTTCACCAACTTGTTTGGCTGGAAGGGGCAACCACAGTAGATTTCTTCATGTTGATGCTATGAATTCATTAAAATTAGGTTTGACATTTTTGTTAAGTTAGTTTATAGATGTTGCTTTGTTGCTTGATGTTTTGCAGGCTACCTTATAATTTAAAGATAAAAACTATTTGAACGCCTTTGTTGGTTGATATATTTGAATTCTTGTGTTAATCCAGTTCCTAACTATTGAAAATTACTTCGTTTATACATAAGTAAACTGACTATTCAGTATTATTCTCAACAACTAACATAAATTATCTTCATGTCAGTCCTGATTAGTACCACTTTTCATAAGATAATGGATATTTAACCGATTAAAAACTTTTGCTCCACCTGTTCTTTAATCCTTAATGATAACTAGAAAAATGTTGACATGTTTCAAGTATGGTGTAATTTTTGTTAAAATATCTATACTAACTTCAATGTAAAGACTTACTGACTAACTTTTTAAAGATTTTTAGAATTCTTTGTAGAGGCAAATAAATCCCCAAAGTAAATAGCTCTGTAAGCTTTCGACTTTGAATGCTGACCACATTAGTTTTAATGGACTCACCTAGCTGAAGGCGCTCGGTCATGCATACGCACTAGATCACGAGTGGGAACGCCGTGCTCAACATCTACTGCAATCGCTAGCCAGATTAGATCAGACGATCCTCGATATATTGATAAAGTATCAAATATATCTTCCAATCTCCTCGCTTCTGTCTTTTGATTTCACTTAGTGGGTACGGTTCATATTAGGTGTTACTGGTTAAAGCGTTGTCAAACTCCGAATACCTGTGGTATCTTCATTTTCATTTTTCATACATCGTAGTGAACTTCATATAGATATCATAATTATCCACTGAAATAAACAATCAGATATTCGTTGTATTGTCATATAATGATTCAAGGTATTTAGCTAGTGAGAAGCCGTTATCAGTGGAGTTCAACCAGGTCTGTTGTGAGATATCAGCTCACTGAAGACAATGATGTGCGGTGGAGCAACTTCGTAGATTGGCTGAAGTAAGACATTAATACTGTTGGATGCCAGCCGTGTCAGTGGTCTAGTTGGTTAAGCGCCTGACGCGAGACTGATAGGTCCTGGGTTCGAAACTTGCGGGGTCGGGACCGTGGATGCGCACTGCTGAGGAGTCCCATACTAGGACGAAACGGCCGTCCGGTTCTTCCAGGTTTTCCATAGTGGTCTAGCTTCAACTGACTCATGATTTCAGTCTGTGATATTTAGCTTATATCAAACAATTTTCCTCAATAAAAAATAACTATCACAAACTTATACTCGCAAATATGTTTTCAATCATTACTTCTTTTAGTTACATAAAAATAGATCATTAGTATTCGTCTAATACTAGCGATGTAATCAATCAATATATAAATGACAATACCTAATCAATAATGAACCAACTTCATATTGAGTTTGATTTATGTTTTCTTTTTCTCTTTCAGATTGAATAAAGTTCATTTTCATTCGGTAAATTCAATGTAGAATTTAATAAATCTTAGTCATGTCAACAAGAAATTGAGAGAGAAAAAAGAAAAAAAAGAAGCAGGAGAAAAAAAGCGAAAAACACAACTCCAAGTGACATTTTAATCAATTTAACTTAACAATCCATCATAAAAATAAATAAATGAGAAAAACGTTTAATAATAAAGTGAATAAAAGTTTGTTTTAGACTAAAGAAAAACTACACTAATAAAGTACATACTTTAAAAGTAAGAAAATGAGATCGGATTTTCTTCTCTCCATGAAACAATTAAAGGATCAAAATAAAAGAGAAGTTTTTGTATTCTCTATGTTGACAGAAATATGTAGAATTTATAAAAATAAGATTTAAGATAAATTTCACAGATAGAAATCATGAGTCAATTGAAGCTAGACCACTATGGAAAACCTGGAAGCACTGGACGGCCGTTTCGTCCTAGTATGGGACTCCTCAGCAGTGATCATCCAGGATCCTGCCTCGCGAGATTCGAACCCAGGGCCTATCAGCCTCGCGCCAAGTGCTGAGGAGTTCCATACTGTGACGAAACGGCCGTCTAGTGCTTCCAGGTTTTCTATGGTGGTCTAGCTTCAATTGACTCATGATTTCAATCTGTGGAATTTCTTAAATCTCCACAAACCCCTTCTGATTAAGATAAATTATTAATGACGACAATGGAGTAAATAAGTAGTAGTAGTAGTAGTAGTAGTAGTAGTAGTAGTAGTAGTAGTAGTAGTAGTAGTAGTAGTAGTAGTAGTAGTAGTAGTAGTAGTAGTAGTAGTAGTAGTAGTAGTAGTAGTAGTAGTAGTAGTAGTAGTAGTAGTAGTAGTAGTAGTAGTAGTAGTAGTAGTAGTAGTAGTAGTAGTAGTAGTAGTAGTAGTAGTAGTAGTAGTAGTAGTAGTAGTAGTAGTAGTAGTAGTAGTAGTAGTAGTAGTAGTAGTAGTAGTAGTAGTAGTAGTAGTAGTAGTAGTAGTAGTAGTAGTAGTAGTAGTAGTAGTAGTAGTAGTAGTAGTAGTAGTAGTAGTAGTAGTAGTAGTAGTAGTAGTAGTAGTAGTAGTAGTAGTAGTAGTAGTAGTAGTAGTAGTAGTAGTAGTAGTAGTAGTAGTAGTAGTAGTAGTAGTAGTAGTAGTAGTAGTAGTAGTAGTAGTAGTAGTAGTAGTAGTAGTAGTAGTAGTAGTAGTAGTAGTAGTAGTAGTAGTAGTAGTAGTAGTAGTAGTAGTAGTAGTAGTAGTAGTAGTAGTAGTAGTAGTAGTAGTAGTAGTAGTAGTAGTAGTAGTAGTAGTAGTAGTAGTAGTAGTAGTAGTAGTAGTAGTAGTAGTAGTAGTAGTAGTAGTAGTAGTAGTAGTAGTAGTAGTAGTAGTAGTAGTAGTAGTAGTAGTAGTAGTAGTAGTAGTAGTAGTAGTAGTAGTAGTAGTAGTAGTAGTAGTAGTAGTAGTAGTAGTAGTGAACAGAGAACACGAGTGGGAACAATCGGATGTATATGAGCACAAAATTAAAGAGCATCTCATTAAAATCTGAGAACCACATAGTAAGTCGTCATTTTGCAACATATCAATCCATCGTCTCAAACTTGACTTTTCCTGTTGCAAATATTAATCTATTGTCTCAGACTTCATTGTTCGTGCATTTTCATACCAATTACTTTCCGTTCCCGTTCTTTCCTCATCGACCTTCTACTGAAATACATTATATGCCGAACCGCTGTTATATTCTACCTGTGTGGATATAAGTAACTCACACCACAGTAGTAGTAGTAGTAGTATTTTTGAAATTCACATGAAATGTTCACTTAAAGCACAAAAGCTTACTTACAATCATTCATAGATTTATTTGAATAACGATGAGTTGGGTAATTAACGATGATGGTATTTGATATTTCAAACTGTGAATTAACTATTAGAAAGTATAATTAAAAATCACTAATTACTATACAGTGACAAGATGATTTCAGTTTCCTATATGAAAAATTTAGATCACCTTGTTAGTCATGCTAGAAGTTATATTCTGCATAAGAAAGGATTTGGTAGCGAACCTGATAATTAATTTGAATGAAATAAACATATTTTCCTCTATTTTAAACAAGACACCTTTAGCTATCTTTCAAAACATTAAGTAATAACTAAGATTGTAATTTTTTTACATTCTTAAACCATTATTTTGTGTTGTCATTGTAAACGAAGACGAATTGATTAAGTCATTAATTTGGATATGTATATTTCTGACATCTTTCATATAATTTTGAACATAATTTCAAAAGTGATCCACATAATACTATAGTGTTTAGTGTTAAAGAGGATTACAGTCATATATAACATATGGGCAAAAATATACAGAATTGTCAATTTGTTCTACTATATTGGTAGCAGTAGTAGTGTATCAAACAAGAACTAAGAAGGGACAACTAATTCATCAGAAGGGGTTTTGTGGAGATTGTAGTAATTTCAATAGTTTAGATCATTAGTCTATTGAAGCTAGCCCATCATGGAAAACCTGGAAGCACTGGACAGCCGTTTCGTCATATTGTAGGACTCCTCAGCAGCGCGCCTCCACGATCCCACCTCGCGGGATTCGAATTCGGGATCTATCAGTCTCGCACCAGGCGCTTCACCAACTAGACCACTGACACGGCTGGCATCCAACGATGTTAATTTTTAACTTCAACTAATCCATGAAATTGGGCGACACATCCACCAATATCATCAGGTTTCCCATGATGGTCTATCTTCAAATGACTCATGATCTTAACTGTTGAAACTAATTCATCATTTCATGCAAACTTTTAGAATTCTTTCATATGTGAAAATTATACATTAAATATTCTATTTGTAAAGCTTCCATCAATTTTCCTTTACATCCTTTATGATTCTTTCAATTCTCAATTCCGTTCTGTTTCCCTTTCTATTTTCTTCAATTCTGTCTTCTCAACCTTCCTTTGACAGATATTCCACTTCTAATCGGTGTTACATACTACTTATTCACAACTCATTCAAATACAGTTGTTTATTCCAATATTTAGTCTATTACACAATAATATTTTATAAGTATTAGCATAGATAGCATCAAATTGTGGTGTGTGCTACTTATATTGACATAAGTAGTATAAAACGCGAGTCAGGAATGTAATGTCTGGCAGCAGAAGATTGGGAAGATCAAAAAAGAAGAACGGGAATAGAGAGCAATCAGTATAGAAATGCAAGAACAATGAAGTCCAAGACAATTATTGAACATTTTGCAAATTAGGTATTATAGTATGGTTTTTCTATTTTACCAAGTAACTCTGTAATTTCGTGCTATATATAATTCGGTTGTCCTCGTCTATGTTCTCCTTCACTACAAAATGTGCATTAAACGTTAATCCACAATCACGTTGATTTTACTGATGGTCAAACACAAAAAATTAGTACAACTGTCAAATTGCAGTACTACTCAAGCCTCTATTAACACTAAAACCGCTTATCACGTTCAAAAGTTATAAATGGTTTTTTATCATATTCTTCTAAAACATCTTTATAATTTTGAATCAGAAACGAAATATATATATTTATATACCTGACTTTCGATTGATGCATATGGATAACTGATATCAGATCTAATGACTAAATGAAATGAAACAATGAAGTGATGTAACTCTCAATCCAAATATTAAAACGAAGTAATATGAGGAATTTAAGGATGATAATATATCTCGTTAGTGATTATCAACAAGTTAAACAATAAGGACTAAAAAATATTTGATATATCAGATTGAAACGTCAGTGGAAACTAATTATCGTCTACATCATAGCGCTTGCTGCTTACTGCAACATGGATAATTACAGAAAACGATAGAATGTTTGGCAACTTCGAATGTCAAAATTTCTTTCTCAACTTGATGATTAGGCCTGTTCAATTAGATTATTTATATAAACATTTGATAATTACCAGGAATATCTGTGCAAATAACAAGCGTGTTTGTAACTCAACATAATTTCCTGTTGATAAATGAAAAAAAAATCTAGATTTAATACAACTAACCGATTTTTCTACAAAAAACAAAGCGAAAAGAAAACTGATTAGAAAGAAACTTTATAGTTAAATACATATTATCTTATTTATTTATAGGTAAAAAAATAAACAGAACATGGTGGGTTGCATAACATATTTGTATCTGCTAACATGACAAACAGTGATAACATTGTGATCGGTCCTGGGTTCGAATCTCGCGAGGTGCGGGATCTTGGATGCGCACTGTTGAAGAGTCTCATACTAGGACGAAACGGCTGTCCAGTGCTTCCAGGTTTTCCATGGTGGTCTAGCTTCAACTGACTCATGAATCCAACTATTAAATTACCATAATATCTACAAAATCCCTCTTTGATTTAAGTATTTTGTTAAATGCTAGTTTCGTCTATTAATTAATGAAATCAAAGCTGTTAACTCAAGAGCTGACTTGTGAAAGTGCTGTAAATATGGTCAATAAATGTGAATAGATCCTAGATTCTTGGAGACATTCGGTAAGAGGCTTGAAAGAAGGTTTACGCTATCTGGTATACATAAGCAATGCATATGTGTAATCTTACTGGGACTAGTTTCCCCTATGAGGTTTGATCTTACATATTGTTTATAAATAGATGTCAGTATAATTAGGACGTTCTGATAATTATAAGGTTATCTTACCAGTATTTCGTATCAATCTAACAAAGTTATTCATTTATACTGTTCGATGCTGTAGTTGTACCCTTTTGAACATGTACCTATGTAACTAATACCAAGCGATTTCGAATCGATTGGCTGATTAGCTGATGACTTAAAACTTGATGCTGGTATAATACGCTCTAATAATTTTTCTAGAAAAAACAATTAAAATTGACAAATTTCTCCAAAAAACGTTGTAGATTCTTTTGAACATGAATGGCATTATGAATATAAAGTTAATTCACATTCACTTATCGTATCAAGCACAATCATGATAATGTAATCAGTTATCAAATGTGTGATTACCTTGTTTAATCTCATTTATATATTTGAATTAATGATATCAAGATGATAAATGTTAATATGGATGTATGAGAAGCTTGAAAATTTTCTGAAAATGTATACCAATGGTATTGTGATTAAAAGAAATAATAATAAACCATGATGACATTTACATGTAAACAATAGTCACTGATTTCCGGCCACAGTCAATGATCAATTCATTTTTATCATAAGTAAACTTTCATTTGAATTAATCAATTAATATAGCTATACAATTAAACGCCCCCTTTCATTATTAAATGCAAACCACTTATTGATCAGATAATATAAAACATATTGTCGAGTAAAAAATATCGATGAGAATTCCTAAAAAACGTTTTTTTTTTGTTTACAACAAACCAAAAGGATATAATGGTAAAATGAAAAGAATACTACTGAAAATGTCTAAAGTAATCTCTCTTCAATAATTTACTAATCTTAATCTTTATATATAATATTTGTTAATTATTATATGTGAAAATTATATTTGAAATAATCTCAGCGATTGTAAGTTGAAATAATCCCAACGTTTCGTCATTATTGTTGAGTCGGCTTTCCGAGAACTGCAACGGAGCCTCCAGAGGCCCTGAAGGAACTCAAGAGTCCTAGCCAATCAGAGCATGATGGGGCTTTCTAGAATGTCAACGTGGCGTGCTACTATTGGTCAGTAGCATAATGTCTTTTCGCGGATTGGCCAAAATATGATGTTGATTTAACAAATGTTAACATCTATAAATACCCGTGTTTTTCTGTACAAAAGTGAACCTTGGAGTGAAGTACTTCTCGCATACTTTGCGTTTTCTCTCTTGCGTTCAGGTTGCTGTATAGTTCTAGCTGGGAGATTACAGAATAGCTTAGGAAACGAATATAGCGTTCAACCTGCGAGACTTATTAATTATTATTAAACGGGATGGTTTAGAAGAATTGTTTGAAAATGTAAACAACATTTCGGAGAGCATTAAGCTAACGAAAGAAACAGAATATGTTGACCACAAACTAGCGTTTCTCAATTGTTTGGTTGAACGAAAACATAATAATAAGTTGAAAATAAATGTATTGAGGAAATCAACACATTCTGAGAAATACTTAGATTTTGGTTCGACTCATGAGCTGTGTACGAAAGTCACTGTTGTAGAAAATTTAATTAACAGAAGTATTGAGCTCGTTAAAGATAAGGAGGACCAACAAGTTGAATTGAATAGAGTTTTGTCTACACTTAGGGATAATAACTACCCAAAAACGTTTTTAAAGAAGATTACTAGAAATGAAAGAAAAATTAAACTGCAATGTATTCTGAAAGATTGGAAGTCCGTCGTGGTCATTTCATACTGTAGTGAAACATCGGAAGAAATCAAGCGGATTCTAAATAAACCTGATGTAAGAGTGTATTTTCGAGCGTGTGAAACCATAAGTTCTGCATTAATGAAAGTTAACAATAAGTTCCCAAAGGAAGGACAACAAAATATTGTCTATGATCGTAATGCAGCTTATGTGGGAGCAACATCCAAACAAT